AAGCGCAACCAGCTTAATCTTAACACTAGTAAAACAAAATATAAATTGTTCAGATAAAAAAAAAAAAAAAACATATTTTACGTACATTGAACATTTTTTTTTTTTTTTTTTTTGACGGGGAAAAATAGAAGGCGTTAAAGGGACACTTCAACGAAATTTGAAATATTCCCGTCGTGTTCAAAAATAGGTTGAATATGATCCACAATATCCGTAAATTACAATCGCACGTTTGTATTTTGAGCCTGGTGGCTGTATTTTTCGTTATAAACGGCCCCCTCTGGCAAGCGCTCGGAGAAGGCCCAGCGGAGACCACGTGACATCCAACCCAATCGTGACGTAGGTCGTCTCAAGACGAGCAAAGCTACGGCGAGGCTGACGTCGAGAGGATGGCCTAGTCGTTCCAGCCACTGAAACGGCTGCTTTTGTACAAATTTTGAGTGACGGGTTAATCTTCTATAATCTTGTAGGGGGACAATAGTGACTTCTGCGACACACAAAAGGCATTCTCGGGAAGAGGGGATTTCCTCCTGCCCCTCTTCTATCGTCGTAGCCGGAGGCGAGACAACCTCCGTCACTAGCTGCCAAGGTTGCTAGACGGGCATTACAAACGAGGCGTTAGCGACATCCACCAGGTGCTCTTTGCTAATCGTTTAATTCGTTTTAAAATTCCTTTTCGTGACTTTTTGCCAAGATATTGGTATGTTCGATTTGATGGTGCTTTTTTGAACACATATAGACCAAAAAATGAGCGCCGAAATTTCGTTGTAGTATCCCTTTATATATCACAAGTTTTTTGGTGTGTGGTTTGAAGAAACACTCCGTTGACTGTACACATAAAAAAATGAGGGTTGATATTGCAAGAGCAATAGGAATGTATATTAAACAAATTCCGACAATTACAAACAAAAAGGTTGAAACTGCAATTATATTATTCGCTTGTCTACTCACGCTTACAAGTACTGTATGTTAGTATGGGGAACCTACTACACAAACAAATAAGCAAAAACTATTTATTTTGCAAAAGTAGGCTGTTCCAATTTATTGAGGACCTTAAAAGGTACGAACACCCATTCCCAGCATTTCAAAAGTATAAAATATTAAATATAGATCAAATCCTGTTTCTTAAATTATATATTTTTATTTTTAATAAAACTAGGCAGAACCAAGCACCCTATATTTATATCTTCGATCAAACCTTGGCAAATTGCAGTCTTAGAAATGCACAGTATACGAAACCTAGGGTTCGAACTAATTACGGTACACAGCACCTCACATATCTCGTACCAGATCTACTAAACACACACCCGAACATAGCAGGAATGGCTCAAACTCACATTTCGTTTTTCTATAAAAAAAAAAAAAAAAAAATTGTAGATTATATATTAAATCACTCATGATCTGCGGTTAGTACGAAGTTAACAGTTATGTGTTATTGATTTATTGTGTCTGTTGTGGATTTTAAGATTGCTGTATCTTTGTACATTTATTCTGTTTATGTTCCTGTTTCTCCTCCGAGTGCTGTAAAAAAGGGGCGGGAGCCTGGTCAGAAGACAACTCGCCTTCTTTTGTTCCAGCCCCCCAGACCCTTTTTTGTGCCTGAAATAAAAGATACATACACACATACACATTTAATGAAAATGTATTAACTTTTCCGTGTGGCAGGGGTACTAAACTTACTATTTACAGTCAACTATTTTACTTCTCTATATGGGCTCGAGCTGCCCTTAGAATAAAATATAACTTATTTTGTAAACGATAATACTATTACCAAGATCTTAGTATAAACGCGGTAAAGGCAATAAAATAAGGAACTGTATATTCTGCCGGCAGCCGGCACAATAACCCGGTAAAAGAATGCCAGCAGTGGTCCTCTATTGGGTATCGTATAAAACGGATTGTGAAAACGGCTATTTGAAGCTGTAGAGTAGCTCACTGGTAAGGTGTCTGTCTGATGCACAGCGGGACCCCGGTTTAGTTCACAGTGTGGGCTTGTTTTTTTTTTTTTGTTTTTTTTTTCTCCTCGAGCATTTTTTAATCGTTTAACAATATTTACATGTCTTTTTTGGATTAACATTGAAAAAAAAAAAAAAAAAAAAAAAAAAAAAAAAGAATGTTCTGGACGAAACTTTGCTGAAATAAATGGTATGGGATTGCTCCCTTCCCGGGGGTGAATGGAGGACATAGCCCGGAAGCAAACTAATTCCGCCAGTTTCGGACGGCGCGTGTATCACTGGGGAGCGCGTACGGCTGTTCATTAGAAAAAATATTAACCCAATTGGCCCACGCACACACGTAATTCACGTACAGTCGGCACGGAATGAAACGCGAACAGTGGGTGCATGGTTTTCGCTAGATGCTGCACCACCTGAACCAGATGGGAGCTGCAAGAAGATGACTCCTCCTTCGATGTGTTAGACTCTTGCTCAGTGCATCCAAACCTTCGGTGTTGCGTCTCTAGGTGACTCAGCGTGGGCCGAAAACCATGCGCTCCTTGTTCGCGTTTCATTCCGTGCCGACTGTACGTAATTTCTAGAGCAGCATTTGGCCGTTTTATTTATTCATATATTGATGGCGTGACACTTTCTGCATCGTGCAATTTAACTGAAAATCCAAACAACTTTATTTTGGCAAATATCCCACGGAACCAGAAAACTCGAATAAAAGCGCGCTTTTTCGTTCGGCACGCCCAGTCAGCGTCCAGTGAATCCGTAGCGCCATCTTTGGATAAGGCAAAGAAACAAGACCGTTGTTCGGTCTCTCCCCGACAGCTGCCGCTCCACCGTTGAGAAAAGTAAGTTTATTATTTTCTTATTTTCTTTATACTCGGAATTCCGACTTGAAATTTTAGCACAACGATGTGACCACAGTTAAACACATTTTCGAAAAAAGAGGCTAAAGATCCGTCAAGTTTTTTTTTGAGAGAGCCATTCTTTTTTTGTGTATTCTTTGTGACAGTTTGCATACTAAAGATATAAGATACAATCACATATATCAAATAATGTGTCTATAATATTTGCCTTAATCGGCTCTCGAGAAGAAAAACGTTCCATAACACGACATCACAAAAGAAAAATATTTGAAGTTCGTGTTTATACCGCCACCGGTCTTTGAACAATAGGGCGTGGCTTCGCTGCGTTTCCATAGGAACCGTGCGGATCTAATTCAAGCCCCGACCAGAACGCCCCTAGCGGCAAACGGGTCCGTTGCATCGGGCATCTTCTGCCAGTCGCTGCGTTGGTTGTACGTTGTAGTGGGTTAGCGCTGTAATTTCTGAGATGGCTATTCCGCACCAAGAAAGCCCCAACAATTGCTGCGTGGTCGGCAAGATCGCGCACGGCACGAAGTACTACATCGTCCCTTCGAAGCCGTACGAGGCGGAGTACTGCGCGACCTGGGTACGACTTGTGCGTTCATACAGGTTAATGGTGTTTCTTACCTTCCAGTTCGCGCTTTGTTTAAGCTGCTGACGAATAATACAATTAACTTTTTTTCTCTTCTAGCGACGATGGAACAGCACCGACGGCAAACTCTAAAGTATGCAGCAAATACATCACCGGAATCGAGAAGCGGTCGCCCTCCTAAGCCTACCGTTGGATGTTTCCATCAGCCTACAGGAAGATAGTAAAAAGAATCGCGGAACGGCGCGAAAAAAAATCGCCCAGTTATTGTCAAGTTGATTCAGAAATAAACATACATAATTACCGCAGTCCGCTCAACGCCAACAAAGTTTTTTTGCGGGCGCGCTTAATTTTGTTTGCAGGGTACGGCGCTCCGTGACATCCACTTGTCCGTCGAAACGGACCTCCTTCACGTCGCACACGCGGCCAGATTCAAGAAACGGTTTTCTCTTCGTCATATTGGCACCACGGAAGAAACTTTCTGGATTCGTAACCGCCTTAAATCCCGTCGTAATCACCCCAGGAACACTGTCCGCTGTACTGCTAATCGCCACTGCTTCCCCCCGATGATTCTGCAGCGGCTACCGAAGGTTTCCGGATTCTTAGCCGCCCACTGTCCTCTGTGCTGTTCGTTGCTATTACTTCGCGATGATTCTGAGCCGGCGGCACCGGCTTCCGAAGGAACTTTCCGAACTCGTAACTGCCTTAAATTCCGTCGTAATCACGACGGGGACACTGTCCGCCGTGCTGTTCGTCGCCATTGCTGCCCGATGCTCCTGCGGCGGCTACCGCCAGGTCGCGGCGAACAATAGGCGACCGCCGCGACACGGCCGGCTTGCTCGCTTCCTATAGAAGTTAAGCCGTTTTTTTTTTTTTTTTTTTTTTTTTTTTTACTTTTTTCTTAGGTAAATTAACTCTGCAAAATTTATTGAAAAAAAGTTAGAAAATTGCTCAGGCATCATCGAAAACCACTAAACCAACAAATTGCATAACGATAGAAGGCACGCGAAGCATTTTACGGCTTTTTGAAAAACCGCACAATCTCGACGGGTTTTTAAGTTTCGGTTTGCTATCGGAGCGCATCTCGGCCCCGGCAGCACCGCGCCCCGTGGAGAGATAGTGCAACCAGGCTCTGCTGTGTCGCGCGATGACAACGCAGCAGAAGTTGTCATCGTTTGCAGCGCTATCAAAGGCATCATAGCTCGTTGTTTGCAAGAGCACTTGCTCAGGAACGGCCCCCTGCTCGCGGTACGAACAGTTGCAGCCCCGTTGTTTTGCCTTGATGGCTGACACATATCGTAATGTTTTATCGTAAAGCCGGGGTCACACTGCTTATACATCATACAAACGACAGTCTGCATACAGATTCGAACGCTAGTCACCGCTACATGCGTGTTTCGAATGCCGCATGGCAATGAGTTCAAGGGGAAAACTTGGCACGCGGCATTCGAACCACGGACATTGCGGTGACTCGTGTTTGCAGACTGTCTTTTGTATGACGTATGAGCAGTGTGTGACCCCGGTTTAAGAACGACACACGAACACGGCAGTCTGCCAGGGTCTTACAACCCAACAAACTTTTGTACACAGCGATTCTTTTTATTGCTTGGTACAACTTTATTAGAATGAAGCGACAAACGCACGTGCGACTGATAACATGGTGATGGAGGGTATGAACATTTTCGTAGAATCCTTTTTTTTTCGGCACTCCAACATTTGTTTTTCAGAGTAAAAACAAAATCAGAATCAGCTTGTGGACCCGTGAATTTGTACCCCGCTATAGGTAACATTCAGTATTCACTGTTTGCACGTTACTATAGAAGGATATGTTGCGCTACAATCGTACATGACTCAGAACCTGTTTGATCGTTTTCCTATACCAAAGCTGAACTGCCGCTTTTAACGTAAGAAGATTGATTGAGGTCAGTGAACAGTTCGTCCTTGGCAATACATACCTCTGTTCCACAGTTTATCAGATGCACACCAGCGTCCTCGCATATGGTAAATGATGTTACGCTATGGTTCCGTCGGTGGAGTTTATATACAAAAGTTCGTGTCTTTCCAAGATCTTCCAAAAGCCCATCGAACAGATGTGGCAGCTGCCGTTATACATGAGAACGGCACAGGTACGTGTACGTTGGAGCCCTAAAGATTCTTATATTCGCTTCTATTTATTAGCACTAAACATCTTCTGCCCGTTCATTAATCGTTCCAGACCTTCATTTGCAACGGAGATATAGATTCGATCTCTGAAAATTCTCTTTACCCAATCAAAATCAACCGGTGGGCTAGTTGGTTACACATATTCGGATGTACTGTGCAAAATGGCAGGGGCTAGCAGAGGAAGACCGGACAGAGGTTTTCCTTCTACTAGTCCTTGTTTATTTTGCTCTGCGTCCTTATCCACTGGTCTGAAGCACACAAAGAAAACGACAAGAGAAACGTCATATTGGTCCGTGCCGGGTCACCCTTACGTCGCCATGGGCATAAGAGTTTGTCCGCACCTCCACACCTTTGATGTGCGGAAGGATACGAAGCCACTTGCAGCTTATGGGCTTTCGGTCGGGCGTACCAAGATGGCCACTTTGTGAATCGATAAGTGTTGGAGCCTCAGTAGTGCACAGTGAAGCGATCCGTGAAGCCATCCTTCCTCTGCACGTAGTAGTGAGCTTGCGAGGCACTGGGCGACCGTGGTTGGTGGTACGGCAACGGGTCTTGGTACTGCCAGTTTCGTTGTTGCGGTGATGCCGCGCTCCAGGCGAGGGATGGCGCCACGGACCTCCAGCTTTTCTCTTCGACGTCTTGCGGCCGGTGGTGGTTCTGATGGTGCTGATTATGCTCTTGATGACTATGCTGTTGGTGATTGTATTGTTGTTGGTAGTTCTGCTGCCGAGAGGGTTGTGGTGGATTGCTAGGCCTCCAGTAGTTCGTTTGTTCGTTCTGGACGTTCTGTCTTGGTGGTTGCTGCCAGCCCTTCCCCTGACCATTGTCGTGCACTAGAAGAAGCAGTATTTTGGCCTCTTTACCATCCTGCTGTCCTTGCACGTTCGCCGCTCCCGAGACCGATTTCCAAGGGCCTTGATCCCTGTTCCACGAGTTCCGTTGACCCGAGTCCTTGTTCCACGATGACCAAGACTTCTGCTGTTGCTGCTGTGGCTGCTGCTGCTGCTGCTGCTGTTGCTGCTGCTGCTGTTGCTGATGCTGCTGTGGGCTTGGTTGAGACCGTTGAGGCGGATTGATGGGCTGCCACTCTTTGCTGCTGCTGGATCTGTCTTCTTTGGGAGAATTTAAAGGCTGAATAGGTTCCTTCCAGGTTGTCACTGACTGTACTTTTGCATGCGGTGGTAGCGGCTTGTCCAAAGCAATCAGGATAATAGGAAGCTGCTTGTCCACTTGTAAGTTGTAACTGGTCTTGTCGGGCGGCGTCGGTGGCTGTGGGGACTTGTCTAGGGATTGAAGGGGTTGTTCTTGCGGAATTCTCAGCAGGATCACCAGCTTCTTGAGCTCGTGCTGCTGATCCAGCTCGGCTGGTTGTTGGGACTTGGGAGAGACTGTACGAAAGGTTCAATTGGTTACTTCTCTTAAGCGGATACGCACCTAGCACTGTTTTGCGGATAATGACAAACTGAAGTTTTAAAAGATACATGTTCGTCTATCTGCATCAGTAGGCTTGTTAAAGGGATTACGCGTCTATATGGAGTGTGACAATAGAACGTGCCACCTTTAACTGTGATCGCGATTGCGTTTCTCAATTCAGGCACGCCAAATGAGGCTTCTGGAGGTTTTACATTTTTAAAGGCAGAATTTTGCAAAGTCACAACAAAGCCAGGCGTTCACAGGAACTAAATACAGGCAATATGTGAAGATAAGAACTCTGTCACAGACAAGCTAGTTCACAAAAAAGTTTAAAAAAGAGGGGGTGTAAACAAACGTTCGATAGACCCTCTTCAAAAGTCCGCGTCATCGCCTGTCCGCCATTGCTTGACCGCATACTCTGAACAAGGGCTGGACACGAGGACTGTGACAGCGTTCGGCATGAGCTCGGCTCAGCTCGTCTTGTAATGAACACGAGTGCTACGTAGCACTCGTGTTCAATAATCTGATGAAATCACGTGCATTGTGCCCAAGAAAAATCGATGACCAATGTTGCTTGATGCACTTCTGAAAAGGGTCTATTGAGAGAAATCCTTGTATATATATATATATATATATATATATATATATATATATATATATATATATATATATATATATATAATGTTTAAATTTCTGGTGAAAGGTAATCATTAAGGCAAATTTAGAAAAACCGTGACCGAGATATGCTTTTTTGCATAAATACAGTTTTAAAGTGTGTATGTGCTCGAAAGGACCTTATAAATATTCCATGTTAATGGATTATAAGTGATACGATTCGCAAAGAAATACTGAAAGTTTAGAGGCACCAGATCATTTCAAAAAGCCCTCTCTTGCTTCTAAGTTGACACTATTACTCAGGGAACTGAATTCTTGTGTGGATGTGATTTATTCACTTCTTTTTTTTTTTTTGCATGCTATTCCAGCATTGTGGTATCAGTGATTCCGTGCATGGAAGTTAAAGGCCGACCAACAAGCAGGAGAGAGGAAACTCTTTATCAGTTCCTCCTTTCCTTTCGAGAAAAGGGGAGACCCTCCTTTTTGCGGAAAGTAGCTCAGAGATCCGCTGCTGTGGGGAGAGAAGGAGAGAAGAGTGCAAGAGGGAATGGAGAAAAGAAAACTGGGAACCGGTTTTCTGCCCGGCAGAAGAGGATTCTGTAGGTCAGCCTTTAAAGGGGTCTTGAAACGATATCGGGTTGCAATGTTTATGACTTAAACACACAAACGCAGCGCAGTGTTTGTGCGCGTTTTCTCTTTATCCTTGTCTTTCTTTGCGCCGTTTCATACACGGCTTGCCCGTGACGTCGTAGCACCGTGCTAGTGGTCATTCCCACTTGTTGGTTAGAAAAGCAAATTAGGTGGGGCGCAAAGTTTGATGCAGAAAGTGCGCGCTCAGCTGCAAAGCCTCCACCAATGGTCGCGGGTGTGACGTCATTACAAGCCATGTTTAGACGTTAAAGGCGGACGACCAGTTCGCGCTTTCCACGCTTCCTCCTCTCCCCCTTCTACCTTTTCCACCGTTGCCTGTTTCCTCCTCCTCCCCCATAGTGAGGAGGATCTTCTGCCTTGCAGAATCTCGAGTCTGGTCGTCGGCCTTTAAGGACGGACGGGTTACAGGTAACTGGACCGGCTCCGGTATCGCCTGGTATACCGCTCGTGGTCCTCACCCCGTTCAACTACGAATAAAGTATTTCCGTCTTCGCCTCCTCCTGAACCAACCCTGCTGCGGCGCTGCGGACCGGAACGGCACTGGCGGTGCCGGCATGGGCCCGTTAGGCCTAGTCTGGTGGTTACCGCCGCTCGCGACGGTGTACTGCGCCGGGATGGGCACGTGCACGACGAACGCCTTGGTCAGCTTGGGCTCGATGCCGACGGCGTTCGGAGGCGACGACGACGTCTGCTGCCACGGCGGTCTCTGGTAGCCGCCGGCCTGGACCGAGTTCAGCAACGCTGCTGTCAACAGCGCCAGGACGGCGCCTGGGCTGAGCTGCGGGGGAGAAAGGAGACGGCGTCGGAGACCGAGGTCAGGTCCGCGTGACGTCCGAGAAGAAATCGACGCATGCACAGAGAAAGCTCCGAGTTTAACCCAAGGTGCATTGAGGGGGTGCACTTTTGCTGATTAAATCATTAAACAAAACTCCCTATTGAAAAAAACAAACAAAAAAAAAAACACGATATTAAGCCAATATATTATTTCAATAACTGATATCCTCTTCGTCTACTGAGTGGTCTAAGCTCTGATCGCGTGTAGGCCAGTGCCCGAAATCGTAGCCCCCAGCGATAAAAATGGGAAATAAATAATGACCTCAAACGCATGGTTCCTGTGTAGAAAGAACCTGCGCATAAAACAAGATCTTTTGTTTTTTTTTAGGGGCGAAGCTCCCTAAAAGAGAAAAAAAAAATACAGGAGAGGCCGCTGCGCTCAAATGCGTATATAATCGCGTTAAAGTTTGCATGCATTGGCTCAACGTTTATAGACGAGAGGACACTGCGGTCAAATGCTCAAATGCATATATAACTACGATCCATACCACACATTCTCTTTCTGACATGGACCGTTGACTTAACAGTTCGAAACGCAACCCGGAACTCAGCACTACCTATATGAGCAATAAAAAAAAAAAAAAATCAGCACCATCAGCACTACCTATTAACAATAAAATCAGTATCATCAGCACCACCAGAGCTTCGCCCCAATCAACATCATTCACCATGTGGAGATGCGGCCTCTCTCGTTTTACTCGTCTTGGCATCAGAGTTGGGCTGCCCCGAGTTGGTCTTGGAGCTTCGTGACTATGCGTTTTTGACGTTGTTGCACTAAGCTATGTGCGAAGGTTTCTAACAAACGAAAAAAAAAAAGAAAAAAGAAAAGGAAAACGGAGTCTTGCTAAAAGCGCAGCCGCCCTGCTGTGTCCTGACGTCAGCGTAAAGAAACATGGCGGCGCCCACGGCACAGAGCGTGCAGACACTAAGTATGTACGTAGCTCCTTTCTTTCTGTGAAATCTCTGACGGCGCTCATGCGTCCGTACGGCTCAATGAATCGGCGTTTTTCCCCTGGGTGATGATAAGAGCTGTAAAGGTCCAGAGCCAGAGCTAGGCAGATCGAAATATCGAATGCTCCGTTTGAAGTTGAATTTGATCATATAGATGGAGTTAGCCAATCGAGTAGCGGCAAAAATGCATCGTCACGGGGCGCGTTTTTTTTTTTTTGGTCTGCTGTTATAGGGTGAAGTAATTACCCACAGAAAAAAAAAAGTGGGGGATCACGGTGCACTCTTGAACCGTGATCTGGCACTCTTACACCGTGAACGGATCGCAAAAAACAAGCCCCGCGCATGCGCTATTTTTATTTTTTTTAATTATTACCGTCAGTCAATTTTCGGAAAACACTCGCGCTCCTCCAGCTGCCGAGAGCGGACCTGAAATGTTGGCCTCTCCCGAAGATGAGCCGTCGATTGACGACGAACGTCCGACCACCGTGGAGCAACTCAAGAGCTGCTTCCTAAAGAGCGGCATCGACGTCGACAACCCCTGCACGGCCACGTCCGCCTCGGATTCGACGTCCACTGTGAGACAGTGCTGGGTCCTTCGCAGCCTCGACATTTGGAACAGATTCCTGCACGCCAACGGTGTTGAACTAATGGAGGACTTGCCGAATCGACTAAAGGTACAAACTTTCGTCTCTTACCCTGTGCGTGACAAGGACTACCACGCTGTAAGTGCTTTTCTCGTGTCCAGACTGCTCAACTACCACTCTTGCGTTCACTCCGTCGAATTAGACCACGTGAGCACGCTCTTCGGTCGCGAAACAGTGGCTTTTGGCAGTGTAGCCACCAATCAGGGCATCGAGAAGATCACGCTGGCAGACGAGGGGAAGTTACAACGCAAGAGCAAGCAGAAGGCGCACAAGTTGATCAGTACACTGGTCGGGGGCAATCTCCGCTCTATCCGGTTTGATTCAATGTATCTGTTTAACATCCCTCGGAAAGCGTTGTGCGACGCCCTGGCCAACTCTTCTCGGCTCGTCGAACTTTTCTTGTGCGACAACGGACTTACTGCGGATGGCACCATTGACATCTTGAGCGCCCTCATGGCTTCGACCACCCTGACCTGTCTTAGCCTCGATAACAACAATGTGGCGTCGAAAGGTGCAGGTTTCATAGCTAAGCTGCTCAAAACCAACACGCCGTTGGTGACATTGAGCTTAAACAAAACAAGGCTAGGTTCGAAAGGCACTGCTTACATCGCCGAAGCTTTGGAAACAAACAAAACTCTTGAGGTCCTCAAGCTGGGATGGAACAACCTCCGTTGTGCTGGTACTTGTAAGTTGTGCAAAGCGCTGAAGACTAACTGTACACTGCTCCATCTCGATCTCCAGGGAAACTATTTTGGGAACGAAGAAGCAATTGCGATCGCCGAGATGCTCAAATGCAATAGGTCACTGCAAGAGCTTAACTTGCGCTCGTCTGTGTCTGATAACTCTAGCATGCTTGCCATTGCCGGTGCCCTCGTTACCAATCGTAGCCTTGTAAAACTGTCCCTGGGAGGGTACATGGTTCCCGGAGAAGGGGTAGGAGCGCTCGTACGGTCTCTTGAGGTTAACAACACGTTAACAAAACTGAGCTGTGGCGAACTGCCGTGCTACATGGAATGCATGCAGTTTATCAACTTCACAAATGCCCTGGCGCTAAATCGGCCTCTAGTAGAACTAGAAACTGTACTGGCGCATTTGGTCGCAGTAAGACAACTGTCGCATGTAGTTAAATTCCACCCAACTCTGCGTCGTCTCTCCGTCAAGAATGTTCGTCCCTACGCCATCGGGGATATGGCCCAGCTTTTCACCGCTTTGATCTGCAACACAACCCTACAGGAACTGGAGGCGCGTGGCCTGCAGAGCGTCAACGAGATCGAGTGTCTCGCATCTCTCATCGCAATGACGAGCAGCGTTCGCTCAGTAACTCTTGACGTATGCCCTTCTTGCACCGATTATTTAGTCATCGTTATGCGTGGGCTGTCCCATAACAACAGCATCTGGAGGTTCAACTGCAGCATCAAGAAGCTGACAGTGCCATTGTCCGAAGAGATCGCTTATATGCTGACAAAAAATTCTACACTCAGCCACCTCTTACTCAACGATGCCGTAGCAGGTGAAGACTGCCTCATGACCCTTGCAAATGCGATGGATTTGAATCGGAGCCTTCAACAACTTGGCGTCATTTACCCAACGGCCAGCTTCGCAGGTATCTGCATTCGTGGATGCCTCCGAAGAAATGCTTCCGTGATGGCACGAGCCGTGGACTTTGCACTCAGGAAAGTAGCAGACAAAAAATCTGCCCAAGCTTTCGAGTTACACCAAAAGAATGAACACTTCATTCAAAAACTGACCCTGGTCGCCGGAACCGGGCCGCAGGCCGAGGCCCTTATTGCGGATGCAAACTGGCACATCCGTCACAACTACTTCGCTCTCGCCGAAATTGTGAAGGACGGGTTGGTGTGTTTGGATTTTCCGGACAGCGAGTGCGCGACGGGAATCGACCAGCTGAACCAGTACTGCTTGTTGGAGATCGTCTCCTATTTGAAGATCAGTGACGTGAAAGATTGACGTGGACTCATTTGTACGAGAACATTAATTGCTCTCCACCGTACTCGCCATATCATGTTTTGGGTATTTGAGTGTGTGCGTTGCCGCCGTATGATCTGTTGGCTTTTCAGCTTTTATCTTAGTGACTTCCCGCGATATCAAGTGCCACCAGCTTATATTTAGGCGCAAAGTAATTTAGACAGTGACTGGCTCCCTTTGGCTGTAAAAGTACACTTTTTAAATTTGACTTCGTTATCATAAAACAAAACGAAAACGAATACGGGCTTTTTTATGGTGTGGGATCCACATCGACTGATATGTGGATGTTTTATATTCGCACTTTTTTCATAGACTGCGCCATTTAGCCTCCTTATTTCGTCTCAGTGTCGTCTCCTTTGTGTTTCAATAAAAAAAAAAAAAGAGAAACTACATGTTTACTAATCTCTGCAATGCGCAACTAGAGTATAGCTCTTGAGGAAAAGGAGGGGTAGGTACGTAGGGGAGTGTATGCCCCTCCTCCTCCGCACCCTCCTCTCCTCGTATCCTCCTCTTCATCTTCGCCCTCATCCTCCTTTCCTCCTCCTCTCCTCCTGCCGCTCAATTTGTTTATAGGTGACGTGCCACGAAGTCGTGACGTGATTTCCCCCGCTAAATTTATAGGGGAAGCTGAATTGGTGTTGAGGTCACGTGACGTCAATTTCCCCGCAAACTTTAGCGGGGAAACTTCATTTCATTTCAGTTATTGTTCCCTCAAAGCGCCCGGAGGCATTACATGAGAGGGGGGGGGGGGGGGGAGAGACAAAAGAAAAAGTTCGCTGCAAAAACAAGAAAACACTAACATAGAAAACAGCACGCGACAGATCGCGCACACATACACAGCATACTATACAGACAACAGCTACACACCAGAGAGTGTATAAAATTAAACTGACTTAAATAATTCTTCACGTACACTCCTAAACTGTGCATAGTCTGAGATACCAACCACACTTTCAGGGAGGAGGAGGAGGAGGACAAAACATATTTATTAAGCGTTTACGCTGTGGGGTGGATCCTCAATTCAGGTACCCATGTGCCGTCCTGGCTCGATCGGCCCTCTCCACCAGCAATAGCTGATCATTCCATTCATGAATAGCCAAGATCAAGGGCGACTTTGAAAAATGCTTAGTGCGACATAAGGGTAGCCTAATTTTATGACGGTGATCATGCCGAGGAAAAATCCTAGGGGGCGGAAGTAAAAGTTGACTTTTAAGGTCAGCGTTGTAATACCGCTAACCTTAGCGGGGAAATTTTTACGCTAAATTTAGCGCGAACTTTTTCCCGCTAAATTTAGCGAGTAAAGTTTCCCTGGTAAATTTAGCGGTAAAACTGTTGTCACATAGCCTCAACACAAATTCAGTTTCCCCGCTAAATTTAGCGGGGAAACTGTGACAACCCATAATGCAGCTCGCGGGGTTACGCCGACGGCGACGCCGGTGCCGCCCAACCCGGAAACGGGCGCAGGGCGCCAGAAGCCACGGTGCACGCTTATTGGACAATTGATGCGCCGATCTTCATCCACATGATCACTTTAGCGCTCAAACCTACGGGGTGGCTGAAATAGCGACCAGGCTCATTAAATCTGCCGCAAAAATCGGGTTCGTAACCTATCGCACTGCGTTTTTGTGCAGCGTTGCCCACAAGTGGTGCATTTCTTTCTATAAAATTTCCAAAAAGCGATCTTACCCGAGGAAAAAGTAAACAAACAAAAGAAAAAAGGCTTAACTCCTATGGAAACGCAGTGAAGCCACCGGTTTTCAAACAATAGGGTGCCGTTTCGCACGGGAGACAAGAGATGGCGCAAGCGGCCGCCAACAGACAAGCATACGGCGCCAAGACTCCGGCATCAAATAGCAGTCGATATTTTCGACCCAAAAGCGTCGCGCGTTCCGCGTTCCGCAGGCGGCGAGAACTCGTGCAAAGCAGACGACATAAGTACCCCGAGAAAAACGGTTAAAATAACCCGAAAAAACATTTTTTAATCAATTAAGTGTCCCTTTAATGTACTTTATTAGTGAGGATGATGAAATCATGTATTGACAACTGACATCGAAAAAGTTCGCGCCATTTTTGAGTCGAAAATATCGTCTGCCATTTGACGCCGGCTCTTGGCGCCGTATGCTCCTTTGTTG